CCTGCCAGACCAGCTGTCCGATGGCTGCTGACCGGCTCGTTGGCTCAAGCTTGATAATGGTGTTGACGAGGAAAGTATTAGAAGGAAGACCTAAAGCATGTCCTTTCAAAGAGCCTTGGGAGACACTACCCTTAAATATCTGCCTTCAGGGGTTGAGAGTGCGGCTCAGGAGTAGAGTACTTACCCAGCGTGTGCAAGGCCCTGAGTTTCAACCCCAGCACTGGCAGAGAAGAGAAAAAGGAAAACAACAACAACAACAACAACAAAACCCGGCTTCAAATGGACAAAGTAAATGAAGGGGTAGCTTTTGAGGAACTATTTTTGCCCTACATCCAGCCCAAGTGTGCTTTAGCTCCCAAGTGTGGCAGAAAATGAAACAACTTTGAGTATTAAAAATTTACATAGCAGTCCATTTGGCCTATATGACCCCCTTCTGCCCCACTTTAGAGCTCTGGGCAATAAGAACCCATTTCTTCCCTTTTAACCAAATTGCTGAGACTTTGCTTGAGAGGACAATAAGTTCTGAGTGATTTCTGACCACTTTTATGTGGTAACAGCAGAAGAAAACACATCCCAGGCCCACCTCTCCACCCACCTTCCATCCCAGGGTAGGTGGCTTGAAAGCCATGGACAATGCTCTGTGATGGAGTAGGAGCATGAACAGCGAAGGACAATTAAGGTTATTAGCAGTATTTCCAGCCCACAGAGTGGCCCCCAAGAGCACCGGGTTCAAAGGCCAGAAACAAAAATAGCCAAGTGACCCCAGGTGGCAGTTAAATGTTTTCCCCAAAAGTAACCTGACGGGAAAGGTGCTTTCAAAGAGGAGGGGGCACCACAGTGTGCTGGCTCCCTGAAGCCCTGCGCCCATCCATTAGTTTGGGATTGGCTGGCTGCAGACCATGCGGGGTGTGGGTGGAGTGCAAGTTCCAATACGAGTGAGGTAAAATCTCACCCACATGCAATGCAATCGGGTAAAATCATGGTACATAAGGGAGAAATGGGTACCTATTATTAAGAGATTCTAGCTTATTTTAGTGAGGCATTTCATCCAAAAACAGAAGGCATGCTTTCTGGTAAGTGGATAGATTAGATACATAAATAGAAAGTTAGATGATAGATAGATAGATAGATAGATAGATAGATAGATAGATAGATAGGATGATAGATAGACCCATACTGCAGATATATCTCTATACTAGATAGAGATACATATACCAGATACAGACACAAGATACACTAGATACAGATATTAGATACCAGATATAGATAAAGACAGTAGATATTCAGATACAGGTACTAGATAGAGAAACTAGGTATAGCTAAAAGTACTGCACTAGATACTGATATACACAGACAGGTACAGGCACAGGTAGAGGTACAGGTGCAGGCAGAGTGCAGGCACAGGTACAGATACAGACGTGGCTCTCCATACTGTAACAGTGGTGGCCCAGGCAGGAATTCCTACCTATTTTGAACAAGCCTCAGTTCATGCACTCTCTCTTCACTCATTGGTGGTGCGCCCTGGCCCACGACAGTACCTAACATTTGCTGAGAGCCCAGTAAGAGCCAGGCACAGCTCTAAGAGTCTCATGCATGCCGACACCCTGACGCTCCCTGCAATTCCATGAGGAAAGTGCCACAAGTGTCGTCATTCCTGTCTTACAGATAACACAGCTGCGGCACAGGCAACAAAGATGAAGGAACTTGACCAAGGTCGCATGACTGGCAGGCAGTGGAGCTGGGTTTGAGATCCAGACTGTCAGCTCCAGGGGTCCTTTGGCTCAACTGCTTCACTAAACTGCCAGGTACGTGTGTGCACGTGCCTCCCGCACACAAACACACACTTGTACACCCAGAGTCTCTCCGAGTTACAGGTAGATGTGTTGTAGTGATGAAACCCCAAAGAAAGTCCAGGCTACTTCAGCTGCCCTTTCCCGCTGTTGTCCTGTGTGGGTTCTGTGTTGAGGGATCTCAAGGACGTCCTTGATGTCGCCGTCTGTGCGTCCAGTAAGCAACTCAGAATTAACCAACTAGAGCTCTCGATTCTGAGCCCCAGCCTGCCCCGTGACAGCTCATGACACTGCTCGGGCTCAGGCCTTGGGGTCAACCTCAGGTCTTCCCTAGGTCCATCACCCAACCCGTCAAAAATTCCTATCTGATTCTGTGCACCCCCTCTGACCATTTCCAGGGTTACTGCTGCTATGTCTGTTGTCTACGGCCCCTCGTATCTTTCTGAAATGTCAGACACGGTACCCAGAGATCTGTTGACTCCCACTTTTACTCACAGAATCCATTCTCCACTCTGTTCTGAAGGAGGAGGAGGAGGAGGAGAGAGGGAAGGAGGAGGGAAAGGAAGAGGAGGAGGCTGAGGAGATGGAGGAGGAAGGGAGAAGCGGCGGGGAGGCACGATGAAGGGAGGAAAAGGGGATAGGAGGGGAGGAGGAGGGTGAGAGAAGGAATAATTTAGTTTCAGCAAGAGATGAGGATAATGGTACTGATGATAGAGAGAAAGGATGAGTTTTAAAAAAAATACGAGAAGATCTGGATGATTGGCACGGGTTGGGAGAGAAGAGAAGAGATCTGCTGAGCTGTTCAGCCCTTATTTGGGGAATTCATAAAATGACCTAATTCACCCTCACTGTGCTTAGAGCAATCACCAGCATCACTAGCCGTGGGTTGGGGTTTAAGATGCAGCACAATGTGAGAGTCCTTGAGAAGCATTCCATTTAGACTGCCATGGTCAACGGGATCCCAAAGAGGCCCCCTAAATGTCCACGTCGGCATTCTCATGAATCTGTTAGGTTGCCGGGTAAAGGGGCATGAAGGGGGCAGGTGGAATTCAGGGTGGTAACCTGCAGATCCTAAAACAATGTGAGCATGCTGGGCAAGCCAAGGGACTCACAATGGGAAAAGGAGGCAGAAGACAGTGCCTGAGGGGTACGACCATGGGCAGGGGTCCAAGGGTGCCACGTGGCTGCTCTGAGGAAGGAAGAAGCAGCCCCGAGCCAAGGAGTGCAGTTGTCCTGGAGAACTGGACCAGGCGAGGAGCTGGACTCTCCCCTGGAACCTGCAGAAGGATCACACTCCTGCCAACACCTGCATTTTGATTCAGAGAGACCCATATTTGACTTCTAACAAGGAACTGTAAGTTAAGAAACTTACGTTGAGTCAATTTCATGACCTAGGTTACTGTATTCTGCAGTTTACAAAGCATTTCTCACATACTGTCTGTATTAGTCGGCTTTGTGATACTATAACAAGATACCTGAGACAGGCTGTTTATTAACAGAAGTAAAATTGCCAGGCTCACCATTGAGAAAGTGCAAGTCCAATGTCAGATGGTCTCCTTGCTTTGACCTCTGGTGAGAACAGCAGGTGGCCATGGTGGGATCACATGGCAGAGTGAACTGTCCTATGCAGAACGAGGACACAGAAGGACCAGGAGAGACTGGGGTCTCCTTCAAAGACACACCCTGCAGGGAGCTAGGACCTCCCAAGAGACCCCATGTTCCAAAGCTCCACAGCTCCTCCCAGTAGTACCATGGGCCTTTCGGGGACACTGCCCATAATCAAACCATGGCTCGGTCTCATTAGGTTTTCCAACACTGGGAGGCAGTTGTGTGAGTCCTCTTTTACATATGAGGAAATGTAGGAACTTGCCCCAAACTCTCAACAGTTATGTCACAGAGCAGGGGCGGCATCCTGGGTCCAATGTACTCATCCTTGAGGCCACCCTATGTCATGCCTCCTATTTTGAGCAATGTTTTCACACTGAAAGCCGCTTCTAGGGGTTACAAAGCTGACAGGTGCAACGTGATATTTTTTTCTTTATTTTAAATCTGAATTTAACAAGTAAAGAGATTAATAGGTACTTCCTTGTTGGCAAGAGTATTTGTTTTCCAAAGACTGCCTGTCTCCTTTCTTTCTTTCTCTCTGTCCTTCCTTCCTTCCTTCCACAAGTACACACCAAGAGGCTTACACACAAGTGTAATGATGATAAGCAATGTGGAAGTTACATGATAAATGAAACTCAAATTCTTTTCTTAACAGGCAGCTGGGCTATAAGAAAGGCCAAAAAAATGAAGAGCCTCTCCATTAGATCCACTGGAACTATTATATTCTTCTTGTTTGCTTGTTTGTGTGCTCTGACCCACCAGCCTCTTGAGAGTAGGAGTTCAGCATTTTTCTCCACCATTGAGTTCACAGTGCCTAAAACAGAACCAAGTGCCTTCATCAGTGCTCAGCAAATATTTATTAAGTGAAATGAAAGAGAAAATTGCAATGTTTCATTCCACCAAGTGTGTGGGAATTTATTACAGCAATAATAAGAAATGAATATAGTTTCCTAGAAGCAGAAAAATTTTAATTTTCACCCTAATTTTTAATCATTTAATGGAGCACTTCATTAATTTACATCTTTAAAATATCAAATAAAGCTGGCAGGAAGAGGAAGTGGTTACAGACATATCTGACTCTTGTTTTCTCAGGTCCTCAAACTGGTTAAAGTTCAGAGACCATCCAAAGAGTAACTTAGGAGCAGCAAAGATTTGGGGTTTGGGGGCGAAACCCAGTCTATTTTATCATGTCTCGTGAATCAGCTAAGTGGAGGCCAATTAAAGAACATTGCTATTATAAAATTAATTTATTGCCTCTGCTCTTTTCATCTTGATTAACCATCACTGCATGAGTTGTGATCACTGAGAAGAAGAAGAGGTGGGCAACTTGGTGGAACTCCGGATACCATGGCCACCTTTGGTGGCCAACGGAGCAGTAGCTCTGTTGAAAACACATCAATGAAGCCTGAGTCTCGAGGTAACACCTGGGCGCCAGCCTTGGTACCTGCTGTGATGTCACAGTGGCCCCCTGAGAATTGGTGCTGCCCCCTCTAGAACAGACTCCTCCCATGTTCCCTGGAGGATACCAGGCACAGGACCGACGCTGCCTGAAGGTCTTTCCTGAAGATCTTGCGGATGGAGACCTCTACAGACATGAAGCACAGGAGAAAAACAGCTGTGAGCTTTCTGTGGAATGCATCGTCTTGGGTCACTCACAGGCTGTGAATTAATGGTTGGTTCTAATTTATACATCTTTAAACTTTACATAAAAATGTTATAACTCTTATGATGACTAAGACTGGACATGCCAATGGAATCCTAGAAAGTGTAGCTGCATTTGTGTGTGCTTTTAATTTCTTTACACCCAATTAACTTTTTCCTAACCCTGGAATGAGATTAATAATCTCAGTTCCAATGTGATCCATGACCCATGCTCATTTACCCATAAACCACAGACAAAGGGAAAACTGGTTACTGTGTAATGTTATACCTCGAGTGCAAGAAACTTACCTCTCTGGTGCCGATGGCTTAAGAGATGAATGAACGAACCCTGTGTTGCCCCTGGTTCCTGGCACAATCAGTGCCCAATAAATATTGGATGGTTGATTAGTTGATGACTGATTCATGTGCATCGCCCCCAGGACTACCTCAGTGGCCACACCACATGCTACGGTGTGAGATTAGGACTGAACATACAGCCTTCTGCGTGTGCTTCTACCTCCCCAGATCCTAATTCCTTTCCCACATTTGAGGCAGGAGATTCTTATCAGCAAACAACTCTTTTTCCATGGCCAAGTAACAGAAAGTCATCAAATGAGACCTACAGCAAGCCCCATTTATGATACAGAGATGAAACAAATGCATTTGAACATTTTTCTTCAATATGATTCATAATATGATTCTTTCTCTTTGAACGGTATTTTCCTTTTCTTCTCTTCCCTTCTCCTTTCTCTCGTCTTCTCTTCACCCTCTTCTCTTCTCCCTTTCCACTTCTTCTTTATCCTCCTCCTCCTCCTCCTCTTCCTCTTCATCCTCCTCCTTTTCTCCCTCCTGTCCTTTCTTATTTTTGTTTTATACCTTGTCCTTCATCAGAACTCTTGGCTATCCCAGATCTTCATCAATATCTTCATTGATACTCAGAAATGCAGACGTGGAGTTTACTACAGGTAACTTACTGGACCCACGGTGGCATATCTATTGTATTTAAGAAGTTGAAGAAATTTTATCCATCATATGTCTTCAGAAGAACAACATATCAGTTCACAAGCCAACAAAACCCCAGCCCAATCTAAGCTAGCTTAAGTAAATAAGGTAAATATTGACTGAGAAAACTAAAAGCAACAAGGGCTTATTGGCTTAAGCATCCTGACTGGAACTTGGCTGACATCATCTGGTGTCTGACTGAGTATTTCTGGGTTCCAGGCTTCTATCTGGGCTTTATTCTCAGACCTGTTTTCCATTCATGGTTAAAAGATAGACAGAGCAGCTAGGTCTAACATCATCTTATGCAAAGAAATTGAATAGAAGAATGTCCAGCTCATAGATCACACAAACAAAAGTCTGGGGCTTAAATCTGTAGGTTTTTGAGGGGTCTCTCGGAGGACATACAGCGACTCTGACCAATTAGAAGTACAAGGGTGTAGCTCCATGATCACAAGCTCACTCTAGAAATAACATTGAACAGGGATCACAAACAGGGAGCCAGTGGGCTGAATCCAATCAGAAGATGTGTTCTGTTAGACCAGCATGGTGTTTGGGATGGTTATTTACACCTTTGGCTGGCTCTTTCACTTTCCAGTTCCCTTGAGATCCTCTTCGCCTTACTTAGCCTGATTTACACACTGATAGCATTACCCAATCCTGAAAGATGTTTAATTTTGAACACTATTGTGCACAGAAGGCTAGAATTTAGTGTAGCTGAAATAAATGATTTGGGGAAAGGGTTAAGACAGGGTCTCACTATGTAGTTGAGACAGACCTGGTATTCACTTGTATCCCAAGCTGGTCTCAAACTCACAGCAATCCTCCTGCCTCAGTCTCCTGAGTGCTGGGATTACGGGCATATGCCACCACACCTGGCTAAAATAAATGATTTTAAAGAGCAATTCCCTGTGTGTCCCAAATACCTGTCACAGTGTCTCACATCGAGAAAGCACACAAAGGTGCTTATAGAATTATACTCATCAATCTGCACGTCAGCAAATGACATGAACCTTCCTAATCAGAGAGTCCACAAGACTTGGGCGTGGGTTTCGCCTAAGTGAAATGTCAACTGCAAGTCCTAGGCAATTCTCTGTGCCTCAGAAGAGCACAGTAGGATAAAATGAGGGTTTGTGTGCCTGTAAGTGCCCGAAAGCCATTTCCACGACAGTCAGGGCAGGCTACCTGCTGCCACAAGCAATCTTTATTTCTGAGCAGTAATACAATAAGTTGGTTTCATGCTCATGTCCCCTAAATGCAAATTTGTATCAAGCAGCTGTCTGCATGATGTTTGAGGACCCAGTCTCCTCCAGTCTGTAGCTCCTCACATCCCTAGGATTTAGTCTTTTGTAAAATCACCTGTCACTTACCACATAGAAGGGAAATGAATGGGAAAGTGCGAAGCTGAGCCTAGAAGTGACCACTGTCATTTCTAACTATATTGCCCTGGCCGTGGTGCAGGCCCTTGTCCTCACCTGTTGCCTAGTATGTGTGTTCATTGCTAGAGGATCATTTTGCATAGTAGGAAATGGAATGTTCTAATATGCATTGTACTACAGTTTGAATCTTAAATGCCAACAAATGCCTTGATCACCAGCCCGTGGCACCAATGAAGGTGGCAGAACCAATCAGAGATGGGATTTAATTGGAAGAAAACAGGCATTGGGGGTGTGCCCTTGAAGAGGATACCGGGAGCCCAGTCCCTTTCTCTCACTTTCTTTTTTTTTTTCTTTTTATTGAGGTTATTGGTACAATCTAGGTACACAATACAATTACATTCATCATTGGGATTCTGTACCTTTACATAATAGGTCTTGATTCTCATTTTTCCCCTTGTCCCTGCCCTCCCTTCACCCGCTTCTTCCCTCCCCATTTACAAACACTTTATTTCCATTTTTTCAGTTTCTCATATTCTTTTCCTCTCCCTTATTACTTTTCCCTACACCTTTAGCCCTCTACTTCCTATTTCACATTATTAATTATCTCATTGGGATCCTGTGTACTATTATAGTTTTTCACACCAAAGAAACTATGTGGTATTTCAGTTAAAGAAATCTCTGTATGAACATTAAAAATAGGGAATCCTAAAATAAAACTAAAAGAGAAAGTAAAAGAGAAAAGGCAATGATGTAACATCAAAATAATACTTAATTCTGGAGATGAAAATGGTCCCTGAACGTATTTAAATTGCTTCTCACTCTTATAGTCTTATCTTATTCTTTTTTTCATTATTTAGAGAATACTTTATTAGTTTCTGTAATCAAACCCAGGTAGATATGACCTTACATATTTAGTACGATGTGTTACCCCTGTACACATGGAAAAAAAATAAAGATAAATTAACATTTCTAGACCAATATGGTTGTCCATTTCTGTACTATGCCAAGTCAACACAGTAAATTGGGATGACTTTTTCCAAAGTTGGCAGCACCGTTAAAGTTTCCCAAAATTCAATTTATATATATATATGTGTGTGTGTGTGTGTGTGTGTGTATATATATATATATAAAGAGAGAGAGAGACTAATAATAGTATGTTATGCATCAATAGCAGCAACAACTTTTCCAGGTTCTGCAGTCATCTGAACAAAATTATAGACATTCAGCACATTCCATTAAAAAACAAACTAACAAAGAAAAGAATAATATCCAGACAACAGCAAAGTTCTGTAGCTATTGTGGTACCTGGCACCATTTTTTCTATTAGCCTCTTAATCATCATCTGGAAAGAGAACATTCTAGAGTAATATCATTAAATGTAGCTCTGATAAAGCATGGTCCCTACTATGTATCATAAAGCAGGTACTAGATATTTTACATTCATAGAGGTATGATACAGTACCGTCCTACATCAATAATACTAGATTCAGTTTTGGTTTGAAATTTACTTTGTCTGCAA